AACAGAGATACAGTCATCATCAGCGAACTGTCGCGTAAAACTCTCACGCACTTTCGGTAAAGGAAACTCACTTGACACTTTTCGAAGTTCAACCATTTGAGGTCTGGTAGGAAATTTTTCAAAAACCCGCAAACGCCACGGTAAAGTGGTTCGCATACAAGTTGTCTAAGATGCAATTAAAACCAGTAAATTCTACTCTCTTGATTACAAGAGCATGAAAGAAACTGACGGTGATTTTCTGACTAATAAACAGCACTTACTTCTTCTCTAGCCTTTAGCTGTTTCACACGCTTCAACTCCTCATCCATTTCTAAGTTATCGAGAATAACCGCAACAAAAAGTGATAACACAATCTACAAACCATAGCTTCTGTATGCAGTAAAATACTTATAGATGTTGACAAAGCATGTTGAAAACTTAAAAACTCACAAGAGTGACGAAAAGATGATACCCTACGAAGTATATTGCTACGAAAGGAACCATTTTATCATTCGTGGCGCGTAATATTTCGACTACAACTTCAGTCCAGCCCTCCTGAGTTATTATTTGAAACATTGTCATAAACGCCTAAATTTTATACTACTGTGAAAAAAAAGCAATAAATAACAAAGTTCACAAATTGCCACTATATCCAACAAAAATCTCTCAACCGAATTTTAGAAACTTTAAAATTAGCGAACAAAGCGCTTCCGGAGAAAGATTTTATTATGCTCATTATAACGTCTCTGAGTAGTTTAAAAAGTTGATGGAAAATAAAATTGTAATTACTTGTGGAAAGGTCCGAAATTTGTCCAACTTTGGGACATAACAAAAAAGTTGTAGTGAAGCAGCGGAGGTAATAATGAGTAAAACCATTGTAAATATGATTAAACCACCAAGTTTCCTTCCTGGACCGAAGATCTGCAAAAGATGTGACACCAAAAAGTAAATAATCTAGAGTAGCGTTTTTGGCCCATTCAGTCAGCATTTCATACCAAAAAATTTAATTGATGATTAGTCTCAAACTCAGCATCATTTATTTTGGTAACGAGTACCTTGTAGACAAAATCCTCAAGCATTGGTGAGGCAGTTATTAACCTTATAATGCGACAGACTTGGAAATAAGTAAAAATATTCATTGAATAGAATGGCTGAATGATATTTAAAGTGCTTCCGATACATAGCAAAAGCTCAAGTTTATGAAGGCCACGTCCAATATATCCACGCCACCCAAGGCCAACAATCTTCAGCACGCATTCAAGATCAAAAAAAAATAGTGTGAAGACGACCTAAAATTTACAAAAGTCAACAACAAAGCGAAAAGAGAACGAAGAATATAGCTTTGAAAAATTAATTATGAGCATTGATTACAAAAAAATTGCGTTTTTTTAGAACAGATTTTAAAAGTCTTTTCGACATACCTCAGCATAGTAAATGTATAAATTCCTTTGCGCATCCGTTTCATCGTGCTTGTATACGATTAAGGCATTTAAACCCGCATTTAATATTATTAAGATCACCATACCTATTTGGAAAACCGTAGATTTAACCAGCTAAAAGTTTCTTAAAATTGCAGTTCCAAAAAAGATATTTCAGATTTGAAATAAAAAAAGTAAAAAGAAGCAAAAGAACAGCGCCTGACCAGCAATAAGTTAATTTTAGAGATATGCTTAGCCCTTAAAAAATGAGTTTATCCTACAGTAATTGACAAAAACTTGCTAGTAGAAATACCTGGCTGATTCATAAAAGTCTGCCAATATTTTTATTACATTAGTAAATCGTGACCTCATTTATTTCCAAAAATTAGCCTCAAAATAAGAACTTTAGAAGCTAACACAAACAGCCGTGAAATTTCAGTGACTTGAAACGTCGTAGATCTAGAAGCTAGAGAAGTTCCACATTCACCTTCAAATAAACCTGAGTAACGCAAATTCTCCTCAAAAACGAACAGTTTCAGGTTTCTAAAAGAAAGTTAAAATTGATAAGGGTAAACCCTGAAGAGTAACTTAAACACAGCAAAAACTTTTGTGTGAGAGGTCCTTGTAAGTTACTCCAACGCGCGACTATTACCTAAAGCTCATAAGAAGTGGGTTTAAAATTTGACCAGGAACAGCCTGAGAAAAAAATACTACTCAGCTTTTTCCTCCCTGTATTACAACACAATCTTTAGTGAGAGTAAAAATTTGGTAGAAAACAAACAGTTTCAAACCACTAAGGAAAGCTTTCGTGCTGTTGGATGGGCAACATTTACTGTGCTTTGCAACCTCGTTAGATACTCATTGCTTCTGCTTTTTCTCATACAAAACGACCATTTATTGGAAATCTCTCATTACTAAAGTTGTAATACAAATAGTTACTTCTGAATTAGTTTACCTATCTCCTTTAATTTTGAGTCGCTAATATAATAAGGTCTGCGTCGTGAGTGCTACCAGTGATTCATCATGGTCTATAACTTCGCAAATTGCGCCCCCACAGCATGTGTTCTTTAAAGAAGTCACCAACGATTTCTCATGCAGCTGCAGCTGTACTATATCCCTTTTCCCACTAATTTCTCATCTAGCTGCAGCAGTACTATATCCCTTTTACTAAGCATAAGAAGAAATGACGAAGAAAATTGCGTCTTCATGTTCCATTTATTAAAATAAAGCAAAAGTGCTCAAGTGTACGTAGTTATCGTTAGATATAGGTACAAAAAGAAGGAAAAGATAACAATTTTTATACAATTCAAAATCTGTTACTTGCCCTAAGCAATAGTTCTATAACCAAAAGAAATAGAAATGAATTTACGTAACTTTTTGTATGTCATGTTCCGTTATAACACTTTTAGAAGCGTAGCAGGGAAAGCCACCAGCATCAGCCCTCCCCAAAGAACGGTCCAGCTTTAAATTCAGAAGTTCCTTCCGGAAACACGAAACCTGAGCAAGGACCAGATGGAGTGGAAAAATCTGCAGATATAAATGACATTCCAAAAACTACTGCGAAAAACCAATCAAAAAAAAGTACAAGGTCACTATAAAAAAACCTTAGTGTAAGCACATTACTGTAAAGAGGGTTTTTCAGAAGGTTCTTATCGTGAAACGGTTTTAAAATAGACTTGTTGCAAACTCAGTTTTAGATGAGGCAATGCACATTCTTAAAGCACGTAATTACCTAACTGTAGGCATAATACAACCCCCTTTTTTGAGTTATTCTGCGACTGCAGATGAGAAGAACCGTGAAAAATACTTATATTCTGCATTGAAAAATCTGTAAAACTTTTTTTTTCTATTGCCACAATCTTCAAATCTTGCGTAGAAAACAAATATTTTTTTGCATTAGTGAAATTACAAAAGCACTATTATTATTGCAAAAAAACGTTCAATCTTATAGAATGAAGATTACCTAAGAAGTTTAAAGATTTTGACATTGAAACACCTGAAATCTTTCACATCCTCCAAACCTAATCCTTTCAAATCATCACTTTTTTTTTCAATAAATGTTTGTATCGAAACAAAGTTATACCAAACTTAAAAATAAGGTGAAAACGCTATCATAAATTTGGAGTCACTTCAAAAATACTTCTTTAGAAACAAAACAAAATCGCTAAAATATCGTTGAGGCAGTGTGCTAACGCTAATAATTCTTATCATGATGTATAAAACCACTTCCAGACCGAATTATAAACTTTAAAATTAGCAGTTTGGAAGCATAAGTTATTTCGTTCCAACTTGAAAAACATTCTAAAAATAAGTCTAAAAGATAGAAATAAAATGAAACGAATGTGTACTGAGGAGAAATGAGAGACAACAAAACTACTCGTTAACGCAACTCTTTTTCGGACGACCGTCTGAATTACAAAGATCCAAAAGACACAACCTTTAGATTGGCAGATCCTTATGAAACAACCTAGTGTTATGTGTTGCTACCAATAAAAAAGTTCAAGTCATACATTATGTAAAAATTTTGGAGTGTTTTTGTCGCTCGTTTTTTGTGCATCGATAGCCACTAACTTCCAACCATTACTTGTTTTTTCAAGCCGCTAAAAAATTTCGATGCTTATTAGCATAGAACAACACAAACCAAATTCACCGTAGAGATCAACAATCAGAGAGGTTAAACTAAAACTCCATATATATAAGTGCTAAAAAAAGCTTAACTCAAATTGACATTTTACTACATTAATACCTGCGTAAAGTGTTTTTCAGTAACTGCCTCCCGAGTTTGCCACATTTCACTTACTTGAACTCTAATTTCAGCAAAAGTCTCCGTAATAACAGCGATAAAAACATTCTAAAAAAGCAAATTTTTTTCGTCAGCCATTCAGTAATCAATTTCAAAACGACATTTTACTTGTTTTCCAAAGTTTCACTCAAAAAAAAAATTATTTTATTTTTACTTAAGAAACATGATCGTTCTAAAATTAGCCGACGGACTTACCTTTACCAACCACGCTAGGAAGAAAATCAGCGTGACAAAGTAAAAGATAGCAATATATGACGGAAACGTATCTAAACAATCATAAAGAACATATACCCATCCTTCTTGTGATGCCGCCAAATATACGGTGAACAAACTTGTACCTAAAACCATAAAATTACACCATTTTTTATATACACAGATTCAAAAGTGTTTCTAAAAGTTAGCAGTTTTGAATAACATTTTAAAACACTTGAACCAACTACACCAGCAATAAGCAAAAAAAATTTGTTTAAGATAAAATTGTAGAGCCGCAGAGTTGCAAAATCACGAAGTTCTGCATACTGTTTATGCTAAAATTCCATTGACATCGCACGAGCAGTTTAAAAGTGATTTACTTTCACTTTAACCAATTACTATTTGTCATAGCCGTATGCGTAACGCCATTTAGACCACAATGAGGCACAACAGACTAAACTGTTCCTGAATAACTCTGGCAGGAAGAATAGGTGACTACGTCTACAGCCGAGTCAACAAGTAAAGAAGAACTTAGCTAGTCTCTTATTCATTCTTCAAGATACAATCTCTAAGTTTTATCGTTCAAACCTGAGCATTTCCCAGAATGCTTTTCTTCTGAGTTTTTTACCCCTTTGAGCTAAACACCTACTGAATAAATTTCTTTATTCCTCCTGAAGTTCCAAATTTTCAATTACTTTTTACTTTACGCTTTAGTCGCCTTTGACTTTTTTGACTTCTAATATTCGGTTTTTTAGGTGTTTTTTTTGTAGTACTTTCATTAGACCTGGCATCAGAGTTGTCTTTTAAGAAGTATACATTAAGTCATCGGTTTCGAGTGCTTGATTAGATCCAAAGACAATGAATCTACTGATTCAAAATGTCGTTCACTCATCGTTAGATCGATTTCTTACACCATGCTAGGTGACCAAGAAGAAAGAGCAAGGAAATATTTATGAACAGAGTTACAAAGAATACAGTTAATAGTTGGTATTGTAAACAACAAGTTGTTCGTTAACATTAAAGTTTTTACTAGATCTAAGACCCCGCAGCACATCCCTGATAAATGACTATGGTCATCATCCTTCAATTTAGTCACTGTATCAGATTAGCCCTGACACTGCTGGAAACTTTTGACAAAAACATTCTTCTCGTACAAGAACAAGACCAGACTGAGATCAGTTTTTCAATAAAATTGCACCCGTTCAAATTAATTCTGAACAAGATAAATTACAATGAAATGAAGAAGTTGCAATACTATGAATGATTATGATAAAAATAAAAGAGAAAAAATGTCATATTTTTTAGTCTACAAAAAGCATTTTTGGTTTTTTAACGACCATTCCAGGAAGCATCATTAATTTTGCTAAAAAAACGCGTCAGAGACTCCTTGCACCAAATTATACCAAAAGGGTCTCTTTTAAAATTATATTTAACAATGCTTTACCAAAAATATCTACTCAACAGAAAATCTTAAACAGCAGCTAAATAAGTATTTTTCCGCAAAACTACCGCGCCAACCATGATAAACTAAAAAACAAAACTGACATAGAAAACAAACACAACTAACTGAAGTCATTAAACATCCCGTAAAACCCTTCCGCATGTGCAGTCATATCAAGCTTCATGCATTCCATATTATCCGGGCATTCGTAGCCTCCGCCTCCTTTCCCAGAACACATAGTGTCAGGAATAGCCAAATCCAAAATTGTTACGTTTGATGGGTCTGTGCCTTTTAAAACACAGTGATAGTTCATCCGTCCAAAAAGTTGAACCCCCATTATAGCATAAAAAGCCATGAAGAACATAAAAAATATGGTAACGTTTTGAATTTGCTGCGATGAACGTCTACAAATAGATGCTTTTAAAAAGAAGACAAGAGAATATTGTAATGTGATTATTATTTATAAATGTGCGAATCTTAAAGGTTCCTCACTTGATAATTTGTTGAATTCTGTTTTTTGGCAACTTGAACCGGAGAACACATCTTATAAATCGAATCATTACGAAAGGTCGAGGAGATCGGAATACTGAATACCACTGATAATAGCGAAACCCTAACTGCGGAAACCATATGGTAACTAATTCAAACGCATCAAGGCATAACGAAACAATATGTGATATCAAAAGTGAGAAATCGAACTGGCACCATCGATCACGAAAATAACTAAATTCATCCTAAAAAAAACTTTTCAGGAAAACTACTCCTAATGCAGTTCTTTAAAATACAGCCTCTTTCAGTACAGTCCAGTAGTATTAAATATTTGGTTTTATTGCAGCATATTTTTATTGAAAAATGAAAATATTGTTTTTTTTTCTCTTATTGAACATAGATTTGACGTGCGAGGCTTACCCATTGCAGAGTCTTGAGACTTTCTAAACTGCTTTACAAGAAGTTATTGCAAGATGAAAATATTAAATTACAAGAAGACAAAACCAAATTAACTAGGCGTTTTACGAATAAATGTAAAAGAGGCAATTTTGTTAGTTTACCATATTCTCATAATAGCCGTTAAAATTCAGTTAAACTTTAACAGTTTAATGTCACTTAGCTAACAAAAAATATAAAACTCGATTATTCTATCTAGCGAAAATTGTTAACGGTATCAAATACTAAATGAACAGTGTTACTGTCTTGAAGCCTTTTCAAAACTTGATATTTGGAGTAGAAGATTTGCAAACTTTCCTAGTTTTACAAAGTGCTTCATCTATTTGAGGCAATGTATTACCAAAAATATAACTAATTTGCTATATCTTTCTTCAACCACAATAAGAACTAGTTAATAACAATGAAAAATGACTTACAAAAATTAAAAATATGTATACGCTTTTTTAAATGATTATAAGCGGCTTTTATTCTACCACTAATTATTTGTTAAAGTTAGATATATCACTTTAAAAAAAAAGTTTATACGAGAAGTTTAAAAAGATAAGTTTGGAAAGATTATCTAAAAGCCAGACAAGCTGAAGAACCAGCTATTTGTGAGAAATTCATAATTTTTAACTTTCCTACAACTATTAAGTCATGCAGAACTGAAGGATTATTAAGAGTAGACAAGTTTTAAAGAAAACAACTATTACTGTCAGA